AAATTTAGCACTGTTGCCTCCATGCTTTTCGGTCTTGTGTTAGATGTCGTGCATTTTCCCATGTCAATAATTTCTTCTCAACTTCTTTTCTGATTTCGTTTATATACCTAACTCTTGGTCTTCCTCGTTTGTTTTTCCCTTTCACTCTCGTTTCAAACACTCGTTTTGTTAATCTTTCATTCGACATTGTACCCACGTGCCTGAACCATCTTAGTTGCCCCTCTACTATTTTTTCGTTTATTGGGTCTAGTTATAGGTTTTGTCTGATTGTTTCATTTCTTATTTTGTCTGTCCTCTTTCTGTTTGCTATTTTCCTCAGGAACCTGATTTCCACAGCATTGACTAGAGATTTTTGTCTCCCAGTAAATGTCCATGAGTCGGTGTTATACATGATTGTAGGTCTAACTACTGATTTAACGACTGCCGTTTTTACCTTCTTCGGTATTTCGTTTTTCCCCAAAAATGTGGTTTTCATAGTGATAAATAAGCTTTCTGTTCGTCCCATTCTCTCATTTATTTCCATATCTTATTTACCGTTTAACTCAATTATTATTCCTAGGTATTTAAACTGTTCCACTTATTCTAGTTGTTTTCCGTTTAATTGTACTGCATGTGTCTTTCTCTTATTTGAAATTATCATTGTTTTTATTTTCTCTGTATTTATCTTCATATTTATGTTTGTCAGTTCTTCCTCTATGATTTTAAGGTTGTTCTGTAGGTCTTCTCTGTTTTCTGCTATCAAAACCATGTCGTCTGCAAATAGAAGCTCTGATAGTTGAGTCTGTTTCATTTGCCAGTGTCCTAATGTTAGTTTTCTCATTCTTCTCTTGGCTTTTTTTATTGCTTCATCCAGTACCACTGAGAACAGCAGTGGGCTCAAAACTGCATCCCTGTTTGACGCCTTGACTTGTAGAAAAGTATTGGTTTTCACCGTATTTGTATTATTATTGTACAGATCCTTTATTACATCAATTGTTATCCTGTCAACTTCTCTTTCTTTAGTGTCCTTCAGACGTCCTTTTTTTTTATTATGTCAAACGCCTTTTCTAGATCAATAAAGCATATATGTATTTCTCTATTTTTATTGATTACTTTTTCACTTACTTGTCTTATTGTGAATATATGGTCTTGTGTGCTTCTGTAGTTCCTGAATCCACATTGTGTATCTTTTATAGTTGATTCTATTTGGGTTTTTATTCTTGTTTCCATTATTCTTGCGAATACTTTCCCAGGAATACTTGATATAGTAATACCTCGGTAATTATTACATCTCTTGTCGCCCTTTTTGTGTATTGGTAGTATAATATCTTTCTTCCAGTCCTGTGATATTTCTGCTCTCTTTATGATATCATTCATTAGTTCTTTCATGCTGTCCACTCCCTCTATTCCCATTAATTTTATCATTTCCGGGGTGATATGATTCTTGCCTGGTACTTTGCCGAATTTAACTCTTTCAATTGCCTTTCCTAGTTTCTCTGTTGTTATGGGTTTTACCTTTTGTTCTTCATTTATTTATTGTATATCCACTATGTTGTCTACGTCTGTATGAGTTAGTTTTTTGAAATGTTCTCTCCATCTTTCCATTATTTGGTTTTTTTCTGTTATTACCTTTCTATATTAAAAAACATTGATACTAAAACACTTGCCTGAGGAAGGCCGTTCTTTTCATCTACTTACTTTACCCTCCATCAAATCGAAAAAATCGTCTGTAGTAATGAATGTACCGGGTGGTCAATAAGCCGATCTCTCGGCTATATATCAGAAACTATTCATGTTATAACTTTAGAAAAAAAAAATCCTTAGTAAAAGTGGCCAAGAGAAATCGCTGGAAATAACTTTCAAGATTCTGGATTAACCGCTAGGGGGCGCAACCTGCGAAGAAAATTTTGAAAACCAGTTTTTTGGGAAATAATCCAAATTATACCAAGTGTTAAATAAGTAAACTAGAAAGGAGCATAAATTCTGCACAAAGTTGTTCAAGTACTTTTTTTTTATTTTTTCAAATAAAGGGTGGGGGAGAGTGGGAAAGTATTTGTGGATAAATACCTATAACTTTGGTTTGGTCCAACCGATTTTAATGAAATTAGTGTCATTAGAAAGAGTGTGGATAAATTAATTCACATCTACTATAAAATACTTGCATTTAGTTTTCATAGTCGTCGGTAGAGGGGACTTTCAAATAAAAAAATTAAAATTTGGTTTTCTTAAAAATTTTTAATGGAAACACCTATTTATTGTAAATTATAATGGAACTGGAATAAATTCGTAACAAAATGGAGCAAACCGCATGTTAATAGCTTTTGTTGAACTCGAGATATGAATAAAAACTCATAAACATAAGTAAGTATAGTATTGACACACCCTGTATTATAAATTACATTAAAAAATAAGTCAGAAGGTATTTTCAAATTTTTTTATAGCAGAAGAATCTTAATGTTGATACCTATTTTGTAAAAAATAGTTTTTTTTGAAACTAAGTAGGCTACGACAATGAATTTGATTGTTCATACTGTTTATTTATTGACAGCAGTCAAAACATTGTTAAGAAGTGCTATATTATAATTCAAATTAAAGATTGCACTTTTTTCAATAGATATTAATATTGGTAATATTAGTAATTAATTATCAGTACAAATAATTCGTGATGAGTAGGTATATCAAATTGTATGATATGATTGGAGTTTCTTTCGAATGTCACCAAAATGCCGCTATTGCCTCACGTATATATTTTGTAAGATATCGTGACAGGAGACATTATGGCAAAGAAGTATTTGGAAGAAGGGCAAAAAGATTAAGAGAAACTGGTAGTTTTTCTCGTCCTTGTTTTAAACAACGTAGTAGAGTTATGACCGAAGATAATTCAATCAATGTTCTTGCTTTAATTCAACAGAATCCACATATAAGTAGTCCGAAATCTCTACTTCTTTGCCACAATATCTCCTGCCGGGATATCTTACAGAATATATACGTGAGGCAATAGCGCCATTTTGATGATATTCGAAACAAACTCCAATCATATCATACAATTTGATATACTCATCACGAATTATTAGTACTGATAAATTAATTACTAACATTACCAATATTAATATTTATTGAAAAAAATGCAATTTTTAATTCGAATTATAATACATATAACACTTCTTAACAATATTTTGACTGCTGTCAATAAATAAACAATATGAACTCCCTGTCAAATTCATTGTCGTAGCCTACTTAGTTTCGAAAAAACAATTTATAATCATATGAAATAACAATGATCAAAATAGGTATCAACATTAAGAGTTTTCTGCTATAAAAAATTTTGAAAGTACCTACTGACTTATTTTTTAATTTATTTTATAATACAGGGTGTGTCAATACTATACTTACTTATGTTTATGCGCTTTTATTCATATCTCGAGTTCGATAAAAGCTATTAACATGCGGTTTGCACCATTTTGTTATGAATTTAATCCAGTTCCATTATAATTTACAATAAATAGGTGTTTCCATTAAAAATTTTAAAGAAAAACAAATTTTAATTTTTTCTATTCGAAAGTACCCTCTACCTACGACAATTAAAACTAAATGCAATTATTTTATAGTAGATGTAAATTAATTCATCCATACTCTTTCTAATGACACTAATTTTGTTAAAATCGGTTGATTCAAACCAAAGTTATAGGTATTTATCCACAAATACTTTCCCACTCTCCCCCACCCTTTATTTGAAAAAATAAAAAAAAATACTTAAACAACTTTGTGCAGAATTTATGCCTCTTTCTAGTTTACTTATTTAACACTTGGTTTAATTGGACATATTTCCAAAAAACTGGTTTTCAAAATTTTCTTCGCAGGTTACGCCCCCTAGCGGTTAATCCAGAATCTTGAAAGTTATTTCCAGCGATTTCTCTTGGCCACTTTTACTAAGGATTTTTTTCTCCTAAAGTTATAACATGAATAGTTTCTGATATATAGCCGAGTGATCGGCTTATTGGACCACCCGGTACAACATTAAACAGATGGTAGTCATTAAGATTGTCGTACAATTTGTGGAGCAATGGATCTGTAGATATTGGATTTTTCTGTGTCCTTTCCTGGTTTTAACAAGGCTATTATTTTAGATTTTCTACATGAATTTGGAATTTCTCAATATTTGGAGATAAAAAAACACAGTAATAATGGAAAACTTAATCTCTTGAAGTATCGCTATTCGTGTTTACGCCAAAAAACGTTGAGCATGTGTAGCTGGTATGCTCTGTTCAAAATACCAATAGAACAAAAATTTAAAATTGTTATTAAATTTTACTATAAAACATGCCTCAAACTATATTATTTTAAAAAATTCTAAATGTAAACCCTCAACAGAGAACAGAGCTTAATATCTCCACTTTTTTACGTTCTTATATACGTTTGCAGGTCTTTCAACTACTTCCCTGTATTTTACTTATTAATAGAATGATTTGATTTCCTGTTTTGGAAGTTTTCTCTATATATACATAATGTATTTCCAGTGTTCCTTAAAAATTCGTCTTTAGCGATTATATTATTTTTAATATTTCCTTGTTTAACTTTAAAAGTGTTTAGAATTTAAATTTATATATTAAAACAAACTTTTTTGGAATAGTTTAAGAAATATTTTGGGATCCACGGGAAAATATATGAATAATCGAATATGGTTCCGAAGAAAATGACTAACACTTTCGACAGCACTATCGTCAATGCGTTTATCAGCAATAATTGGACTTTTTCATTTTCTAAATGATAAGGTAATAGCTTTTCTTAATAGCCCTCATTAGAAATACACGTAGCATATTTACAGCACGATTAGCTTTTTAATTATTATGAAAACAATTTTTTATTTCGTTTCTAAATATATTAGAACTTAAACTTTTAAAAAATAAGTAATTATAAAAAATGTATTAAGTTAAAGACGACTTATTTATGTGTTAATTTATTTAATTATTGCCTTTTCCAATTTTATATAAAATTAAACAGATTATTTATGATAATATTATATATTCAATGATTTATACGAATCAATTCAGTTAAAGTGTGGGCTTTCATACAAGCCAGATACTAGAATACAAGCTCTCATACAAGCCAGATAACTAAACAATATATAGTAGGTAAGGTTTCTTTTTATGCGGATTATTTTTTGGCGATTTTAAGGTTACACGGTTTGTATTTCATCCAAAAAAGTATCCAAAACTTTATATTATTAATTATTATAAATAAATATCAACTATTCACATTCAGATGTCAGTTAAATAAGTGTTTGCAATTCGGGGATTCTTTTGTTACATGCTGTCCATATTACATCTTTGCGAGTTTCGCATTGAGAAGTATAACCTGTCATTGTTTTAAAATCATTTTGGTCTTAGCGATGCTTAGTTTTATAATAAGTTTTTTAAAATCTTGCTGATTCCAAGGTGCAATATAATAAGCAACACGGTTTTTGGATTGAAACGTTTTAAGTGAGTGTCGTAAAGTTTTTGCCATCCTAAAGAGGTTTTTGCCATCTCAATTTAGATCGCTTAGGAAAAGGTGAAGGATCTACAGCAATTGGATAACATTTTAATTTAGGCGTATCAACTTTAATAGCAATTAACAAGAATGGAGTTGCTGTAAGAAAATCTATAATTTCTGGTACAAAAATTAAGCGGCAAATTTACATCTTACTCAAGGAATGTATTATTACAAAGAACAAAAAGGGCCATCGCAATTTGGATTGAGGAACTAATTCAAAAAAGAATTTTTGTAAGCGGTTATTTATTTCAGGAAAAATCTCTTCAGTTTTATGAGTTAATGAAATAGTCAGGACCACCAACTTGTAATTTCCAAGCTAGAAAAGAACTTTCAGCTATTAAAGAACAGCTAACCAAGAAATACACTTTATAATATCAAGATTACATGAGAAAATGCTAATGAGTAGATGAAGCGGCAGCAAAAATATTTCCACAGGAGCTAAACGAGATTGTATTTAAAAAAATTACCTAACAGTACTTACATCGCAAAGGATGAAAAAACTGCAAGTGGACATAAAGCAAGTAAAGATCGATTACCATTATTACATATTTTGTAGCAATGTATCAGGAGATCGGACGTTGAAACCGCTCTTAGTAAAGTCAGTTTAATCTTAATAATGCCAGTGCATTGGATGGCTAACAAGAAAGTCTGGGTGACAACAGCTATTTTACAGAATCGTTCAATAATTACTTCGTGCCAGATTTATTTATTTATCGTATGGCATACAATAAGAACACACAATTACAAAATCAATATAAAACGTTACATGAAGTATTACAAACGAACATCTAATGTATTATTAATATAATGTAAAACATTTTCGGTCGCATTCAGGAACTCATCGAAAACTCCAGGGAATCGCCTTCGGGGACATTCTTCAACAATGTGACGGACGGTCTGTCGTTGCGCACCACAGTCACACTCTGGAATAACGGCTTTTCCCCATCTATATAATCTGTCAGCACATATACCGCTGCTTGTTCTTATTCTGTTTAGCGTTGTCCATGTATTGCGGGTCAGTTCAAAGCCTGGCGGTTTCTGATCGATACAGGCCATTTGATGTGCTTCCTGTGGTGAGTCGCTCTCCCATTGTGTTCTCCAAGCTTTGGTCAGGTTGAAATGTTCCTGATGTAAGGAGTTGGCTCTTAGCAATGGAGGATATCTAGAGCGCAGTCTGTTTATTTCGATATCAAGCTTATCTTGGTGTACGGGCAGTTGATGGTTAGCCTCAATTTTTCGATATTCTCTGAGAAGAAAATGACTTCTTCGCAGTTTCGGCGGTGGAATGTGACTCAGAATATGAAGCCAATAGTTCGGTGTAGGTCTAATTGTACCTGAGATCATTTGCATTGTCTGGTTTAATTGAGTGTCAATAATCTTTGTGTGTTTGCTATTGAGCCATATCGGGGAAGCATATTCAGCCATCGAGTATACAAGTCCGAGAGCGGATGATCTGAGTACGAAGGCTGAGGGCCCCCATGTAGTGCCACATAGCTTTTGGACTATATTATTTCTCATTTTCAGCTTTGCTGTCGTTCTTTGAAGATGTTCTTTAAAACTCAATGTTCTGTCCAGAGTCACTCCAAGATATTTTGGTGTTGAGTTATGAGTGAGCAGTCTGTTTTTGAAGTGAATGGAGAGTTTTTTGTTGGGCTTGGGCATTATTCAGATGGAAACAGCACACTTTGGTTTTCGTTGCATTAGGCCGTAGCCTCCATTTGCGAAAGTATTTTCCCATAATGGCAAGGTCATCCGCTAATATTCTTTCTGTGATATCCATGTTATTATGTCTTGCTGAAATGGCCCAATCGTCAGCGTAGCCAAATTTCTGCGAAGTTGTCCTAGGTAGGTCTGCGATATATAAATTGAACAGTAAGGGTGCCAAAACAGATCCCTGTGGCAGTCCATTGCTGAGCTTCATTTGAAAACTTTTAGAATGGTCTATTGTGACTTGAAAAGGTCTGTCCGTGAGCATGTTATCAATGAGTTTAGTTACCTTTTTACACGGGACGGCATAAATTAGCTTGAAGATTAGTCCTTGTCTCTAGACAGTATCGTATGCAGCTGATAGGTCAATGAAAGCAACGAATGTTTTTTGTTTTCTTTGAAAACCAGCTTTAATATGTGTTGTTAAGGATAGGATCTGATCTGTGCAGCTGCGGTTAGGTCTGAATCCTGATTGCTCAATAGGTATCAATTCAAATTGGTTTCTACTAATTCTGTTGTAGATTAAGCGTTCCAACAGTTTACAAACACAGCTCAGCAAAGCAATCGGACGGTAGTTGGAGGCTGATTATTTGCTTTTCCTGGTTTTAATAGTCTGGAAATCAGAAATTTAGTCTGGAAAGCCGGGTGCCTTTCCAGACTTAATTTCTGATATGGCTGAAATAATTTCTTCTAGAGTAAACTCGTTAGAATATTCAGAAGTAGGCGGGCATGCAGACTTTGGTACTTTAAGTTCTTGTTTGACTTTGGTGGTGTGATCACGATCTCTAGGTGCTCTTGAGGTTAATAAAATATGGGAGCCCACTCTGTTTTAAGCTACTGGTACTTTTTCTCTAGTTGGGAGGCTACTACTACCAAGTTTTCTAAGTAAAGACCATGCTTTTCTGCTTGATTTACTAAAGTCTAATTTTTCCACAGTTTCCATCCATTTTTGTCGTCTGGCTGCATCCAAACTGTGCAGTAATTCGTCCGCAATTTCTCGATCTTGGCTTTCGTTGTCTTCCTGATACAATTTCTCGCATTTTTCATCCCATCCTGGTACATACTCTTTACGATATCCTCTGGGTATAGTTTTCTTCGCTGTAGAAATAACCGCGCCAAACAAATCTCATGTAGTTTGAACGTGTTGGGGGTATTCATCCCAGACATTTGTCCAATCTCAGTAAAAGTCGCCCAGTCTGCTTTTTGAAAGTTCCACCTAGGTCGGGAAAAAAAAGATATTATTGGTATTTTGATGCCAATTTCTATTACAACTGGTCTATGTTGGCTATGTGGAAAATCTGGCAATACTGTACGTGAAGCTGCCAGTGGTTGATTGTTTTCATTTGTGGAAAAAAACATAGCTCTGGATTGTATTCTCGCCTCTAGGCTGCAGATCCAAAAGTTGCCCGATCTTTAGCATCAAAGACTAAATAAGTGTCAACCTCTTCGCTCTAGTTTATTAGAGCCTCGCTGTTTTGATCATTGTGCCTATACTTCCAGAGTTCATGATGACTGTTTAAGTAAGTCTCCCACATAAACTGAGGGGTGTGCGTGGGCGTGAATAACATGCGAAGGCCACAGGACTGCCGGGGGTTTATAAATATTGCTGACATAAATTTCGCCAATTTGTATAGTAACCGTATGAATGTTATTTATGTCTGATGTAGAACGTATGTCGTGCCCGAAGTAGAAGCCTATTTGAAGGAAAAATCTCTCTATTTTAAGTTTTAATAATTATTGACAATGCAGTTATGTCATTCACACTTAGAACATCCAAAGGTTCAAATATTATCTTTTCCGCTCAATACAACAAGCTTATTTTGCTTATAAATTGCATTGTAAGCCTGCAATTATATTAAGAATTACACACATTTGCAGACAAAATGTCTGCAAATATATTAAGAGTTATACAAAGAGCAATAAAACGAAAAATAATCGTTATAAGTTTTACAGACAGGAAACTAAATAAAAAAATTGGTCAAAAAACCAGTTGCAGATGTGTGAGGACATATTGCAGAGCTGCAATGGCAAGAGTTGGTACATGTAGCTCGGCGAGATCAAATCAGATAAACAAGTTACTGGCACACTGGAGAACCAAACAGACACACCAAACAATGTCAGAAGACCCTTGAAGAGCTTTTTTTTAATCTAATTAAAATTACAATCTTTCCAAAAATAAATAATAATAAGTTTTTTGATATAAGGTTGACTGCTCGAATAAATGAACTTTGATCAAATTAAAGGCAGATATCGAACACAATTTTAATAATTAAATCTTGTCCAAGTACTTTCAATTTCTAAAGCATCATCAGGGGCATGTCGTCAGTTTTGGGCTATCCGACAAGCGCAGAATGTAATAAACTTAACATTAAACATAAAATTGTACAAGCACTACACTAAACAAGGACAAACATTTTGCTAATTTTAAAAGACAATTCTCACAAGGGTAAGCCTATTGAAGACATAGGAACTTCATTTTTCTAATGCAAATTTTTTTATGTTAATTTTTAGTATGTTTTGAAAAAGAGTAAAATAAACTCGAAAGCTTAGCAAAACTAAAAGAGTTTTACTTAAAGGCCAATATATTGACTACTAAAGCCCTTTCTAAGAGTATATATATATATATATATATATATATATATATATATATATATATATATATATATATATATATATATATATATATATATATATATATAATATTTCAGAATTATAGAATGAATATCGTGAATGTATGGAAGATGTACAATAAGCAAACTGATTGCAGTAAAACCGGTTTATAAGACGGTTTCTAAATAAAAAGTTAATCTGACCACAGAGCAAAACGTTTTAAATCCATCAAATATAAAAAAAAAATTAATTATTATATGTGATCTTTGATTTATTATTACGA